CATATTTCCGTTGGCTGGGAGTCACCACAACATGGGGAACTATATTAAAGGGTCGAGGCATTAGGAAGGTTGAGAACCACTGCTTTGAAACAAGAACTCCTCAGCCTTGCATTAAAGCAAATGAGGCTACAGGGGAGCAATTCCAAGGTTTAATGACCGGCATTGGGATTATTAGTGGTCTCTGCTTTAAGACGAATAATTCCTCATTGGGTTAGGTACAGTATTCAGTGACAGCATGAGAATTATATTTTCTAAAAGAAATCATTTTAATTTAAAAATAAATCAGGTTTCAGCTAGAACATTTATATATTTTTTCCTTTCCAAGTGAATGGTGGACTGTGTTTCCACTGCTCACTAGTAACGAAATGGTTAATGCTTGAGGCTATCTCCCTCAACCACCTTGAGAGAAAAAAGAGTCACAGTCAGTTACACCCGTTAGAGCTGTGCTCGTTAGATCTGCACTTGCTAGGACACTTGCAGGCACACACACACACACACACACACACACACACACACACACACACCCTCTTAACTGTCGGCCTTCGGCTGCCACTGCCACGTCGGCTGTGGTGGGCAGTCAGTCTTCCCCCAGGCCTGACATTTCACTCCTGGCTTTAGCGGCAAACATTCAGGGAAGGGTGAACAGCCCCTCTGGCCTTCAGGTAGGTCCTAAACCTTGATTTCTACCAAAGCTGAAAGCTGGGAGCTATGTTGGGAAATGTGAAGGGCAAGGTTGATGCCACACCTCGGTAGTGTGTGAATTACAGGTGGATTGGGTGTCCAGACGCGACAGGGGTGATGTGGCAGTTGGAATCTGTGTGGCCTTTTGGTTGCAGGCTGCTACCAGGCTGCAAATCCACAGAGCCCGGTGTATTCATCTTGGTGCATGCCTGCTTCTCTGGCTTAAGTGTCGGAAGGAAAACCTAACCCTGGTTTGACCACCGTGAAAAACAACAGCAGCAGCACTGACATCTAATCGATTCTGACTCTTAGTTACTGACTCGCGTAGTACAGAATAGAAGTGCTCCCTAGTGTTCCCAAGCTATAAATCTCTACGGGTCCAGCCAGCCTCATCAGGCTCCAGAAGAGCAGCCACTGGGCTCAAACTGCTGACCTTCCTGTTAGCAGCTCAACCCATAACCCACTCAACTACCAGCACCCCCTGATTAGCTGTGCAAAATAGTCTGAATTCTTACACAAACAACTTGCCATTAGATGGAGTTATCTGAACTGTAAGATTAAATGTTTGAGAAAATGAGTATCTTTCGTCGGAAGGAAGAAAAGAAGTTCGGTGTACGTGCAACAAGCCCAGCCTTGTGCTATTGTCCCACCTTGGAGTGCTTACTCTGCCCAACTTCACAATCAAGTCTCCCTGCTGGGACAGGTTAGCATGGGGCTGGGGGAATACTGAAGTTCAATGGTCTTACAAATATTCTGTCTTTGAGAAAGAATGTTTAATGTGTTGACTTTGAGACTTCCTTCTGTTGAAGACCAGTGTCTTGTTTTTTAAAAACACCTTCCTGTTTTCGTCTGGTCTACTTCAAGAAAAATGAGCACTTCAGTGGATCACTGTGGAGCTAGTATAATTCGTTCAAAGTGATTTTAAAAAGCCAAGCTGTGGCCAACATCATCCGATTCAAACCATGGAAGATATACAGTAGTCTATTCCAAGGAAAAGGGAAAAGTAAAAAACTAACTAAACATGGCAAAAGAATGTGAAGCGACTTCCAATGTTCCTGTTTGTTCTTTAAATGCATGTACCATCCGGCCTTGATTTAAAACAGGTCGTTGAAAACTAAACACACAGTGAACACATGAACAAAGTTAATGTAGTACCTGAACTGCTCACGGGAAGAGTGTAGAAATGGCCACGGTTTTGTTACCTCAATATTGACCATAATAAAAAAATTAAATAATTTAAAGGAAAATATACAAATGCTTGAGCTGTACCACAAAAGAAGGTAGCACACCTCAGTGGTAATAAACTTCATCAGTATTTTTAAAGGAGACCTATTAGTGCTGTGAGTTAGGCAGGCACTGGACTGGTAACCACAAGTTCTGTGGTTCAAATCCACAAACAGCTTCATGGAATATAGATAAGGCTGTCTACTCCCATAGAGTTAAAGTCTCAGAAACTCTGTATAGGGGCACTATGAGTCTGAGTTGACTGGATGGCTTGTAGGGCTTTAGGTTTGGGGGGGATATGAAGGCATGAGTCAGGAGCAAGGCATCCGGAGGAGCCCAGATCAGAAACTCTCACTGGAAAATCTCAAAGGATCTTGGCAGGAAAATGGTTCGTTTTCTTTATGTGTCTCTCAAGCAACTGTTTGTTTTATATAAAACAATCATTTTACATTTATGAGAAGTTGATTTCTTTATGACAACTTTTTAAGGAAGCTAACAAGAAAACATCTTTAAGAAACCTTGCTGTTGAAAAGGACGTGTTTCTAGAGAATGTTTATTCTCTGGGGATCTGGAATCCATTATCCTCGTGGGGCTAGTTTTCCAGGATAACCCAGCGAGTCTGCAGGGGATGTGAAGCCATGTGAAGCCAGCAGGATTTGGTTTCAGGACTCCCTCCACCCCAAGGAAGCAACTCTCTGGGAATCAGCACCATCACCCGTGGTTTTCTTGTGCTGAGTGGAGGGTCAGCAATGCTCCCTTTTGTTTTCGAGGGAGAGCATTTTCCAAGTTGCCCAGATGGCTTTGCTCAGATATACTTGGCGAGGCCATGAAGAAATAAAACACTGGCCTAGAGTATTTCACGAGCAGGGTAAATGACTGAACTACAAACCACCATGGCTGCAGGGGGAAAAGAAGTGTGTTTTCACAATGTTGGTAATTAATTCTTCTCATTCCCCACGTCCTCACTTCAGCTTACTGTAACCCACAAGATCACTATTAAAAGCTAACTTGAGGGCATTTCCAGCACAGATGATTTGCAGTAAATTACAAATCCTAAATCCAAGAGGATAGTTTGCAATGCCTTCCCTCTCATGGATAGAAGTTCTTTAAAGGGAGGAGATAAAAACAAAACACCAACATCTCCTTAGAGTGATCATAGATTCTAAATGATCCAAGGGACACATTACAGAGGGAATAAAAAAACAGACATATCAATTAAGTACTTACTTTATGCTGGGCCCTGTGCTATACAATTTTGCACGTGTTGCTTCATTTATGGAAGGAATCCCTGCTTGGTGTAAACAGTAAGCACACTTGGCTGCTAATGGGAAGGTGGGAGGTTTGAGTCCACCTAGAGGTGCCTGGGAAGAAAGACCTGGCAGTCTCCTTGCACATCAGCCACTGAGAACCCTGGAGCTCAGGGCTACTCTGCAACACATGGGGTCACTATGAGTCGACATCAACTAAGCAGTCCCCGGTTGGGGTTTCCTTTATCTCACAGATTCCCCAAGACAACCCAATCGATAGGTCCTAATTTGGGCTACCCTGTTTCCACTGACCTTTGGTATCTAAGTTTGCACTCTTCAAACTAGCGGTGCATTTCACATGAAGGCTCCTGACATCCCTCTTAGGTAATAATCATAAAAAAATTTAACAAGCTTACTTCACCTGGTGAGTAAGTAAGAATACCTCTTACTATCCCCACTATCCATTGTTAAAAAGAACTGAAAGAAAAGTGGTTACAGAGCAACTAAGAGCTAGGTGGGACTTGGATTGGGACATTTAATGAGGAATTAAGAAAAGAGTGGAAAGAAGGATAAAATCTTGCCTGTTATCTAAATGGATCTCACAACCTCCGTTCCTTGTTCTGTTCCCACAACTGCCTCTTGATCCACAACTGCCTCTCATCAGGAGAGACCAGTCCCTGAAGGACACCATGTTTGGTAAGGTGGAGGGGCAGCGTAAAAGATGAAGGCCCTCGATGACATGGATTGGACACATCCCATGGCTGCATCGATGGGCTCGGGCATAGGAATAATTGTGAGGATGGCAAAGGACCATGCAGTGTTTCATTCTGTTGTGCACGGTCACTCTGGGTCCCAACTGACTCGATGCCGCCTGACAACAACACTACCCCCATCACATTGATCCCATCCTTACTCGTCCAAAATGGCACTAAGCCACCTCCTCTGATCAGTTCCCCAGATCCTAAAGACCCTTCTAATCATCTTCAGCATGACAATGATCACCTTCCATGACTGGCAAGTAATTGTGAACTTTTAAAAAATTCTAGTATAAACAATCATTTACTCTAGCAAAGCCTTGTGCTAGTCATAATTTAAATCATGTATCTTCTTATACAGATGAGGAATTTGAGGCTCAGAGAGGCTAAATAACTTGCCAAGGTCACATGGTTAATAAGTGACAGAGCCAGGGTTTGAATCAAGCCAGTCAAGTTCTAGAGACCAACCTTTGTTTTGTTTTTTGCGTTTTTTGAAGCATTTTAACAATTTATTCTTCAAAGCCCAAGAAATCTATGCTATTTTGTTTCTGCTAACCTTTGGATCTAAGATTCCATTCCTCAAACAAGGAGTGCATGTCACATTAAGACTCCTGACATTTCTCACTAAAATAATGTATCAGGCTTACTTCAACTGGTGAATGCCTTTTATAAATGTTAGAATGCAAGCATTATGCCTGTATGGATTCTGACACCTCTTTGCTGAGTGCCAGCTCACTAATGAGCTGTCAAAGAATTACTTTGGTCAATGTTCTTGGACTCAAAGGAGATCTGAAGTAAGAGTCATTAATCTTTACTCTTACCAAACGCAGAGAATTATGTGCCCGAGCCTTCTCCGCACCCCTAAAAGAACTATTTTTAAAAAAGGAAAAAGAAAAAAGGTGGTGGGGTGGGAGAGGTGGGAAAACAAAGGGCTTTAAAGTGGTGCTCAGCCAAAGTGTAAGGACCGTATTTCCAACACTCAACGTGTCTTAAGTCCCAGGCCCCAGCAGCGCTGAGCAGGAGTCAGCCTGACACCCGTGCAGGCGCGGGCGCCGCCCAGCGACCAGAAGGATGGTACCCGGGCGACTCTCACCTCCCATTCCCTAGCGCTCCGCCTGGATGCTCAAGAAGTCGCTTCGCACTTTGACGTCTTTATTCAGAGAGACATCTTACAAGTCTCCACTTCAGGAGCCCAAAAACATCTCTTAGCAACCCAACCCCGAGCGTGCTGGTTCTTGGGAAATGTAGTTCTTTTTACAGACGGATGCTTGGGCTTCCAGTGAAAACGGACTACAATTCCCAGAACTCTGAACGCGGTTGGTCCGTGATCAAAACGTGTCCCTACTACTTAGCGTGCACTCGGCACAAACGTTCTGTGGTTCTATCAAACGGGAACCAAACTCAAGAGGAAACCATTGTGACTCTTAGCGAGCGCGCAAGATAGGTGAAAGCGCCACCTTGGATTTCTGAGACTGTAGATCTTCACGGGAGTAGAAAGTCTCTTCTGCCGCAGAGTGGCCGGTAGTTTTGGACTTAAACGACCTTACTGTTAAAAACAGCCCTACACAGAGCCCGTAAACCTCTAGGGCTCCTAGCACCTGAATTCTTTCCCACCAGGCCTTCAAACTGATTCCTTCCTGGTCGACCCTGCTGGGAATTTGTATTTCCACCATAGATATATGGAATCAGACACTGCACTTTAATATGATCCCCAAGTGACCCAAAGGTATCCTGGAGGCGCTGCCAGGTAAACGTTGAACTGCTAACCACACAATGGACAGTTGAAACCCTCACCAGCCGCTTCAAAGGACGAAGGATGAGCCCGTGTGCGTCCCTAGAGTTTGCCGAGCTCTGGAACCCGGTATAGGGAGGGTTTCTGTGTGTCCGGATACACTCCACAGTAGTGGGTTTGGGTTTTTAATCAAGTGATTTCTATGTAAAGAGATACTGTAAGTCAATTTACTTTTGTAATTCTTTCAGATAAAAGATCTACCCACGATCAGACACGATGTCGCTTCAGATGGTAACAGTTAGTAATAATATCGCCTTAATTCAACCAGGCTTCTCACTGATGCATTTTGATGGACAAGTGTTCTTCTTTGGCCAGAAAGGTTGGCCTAAGAGATCCTGCCCCACTGGAGTTTTCCATTTTGATATGAAGCACAACCATCTCAAACTGAAGCCTGCACTTTTCTCCAAGGATTCCTGCTATCTCCCTCCTCTCCGATACCCAGCCACTTGCATGTTCAAAGGCAGCTTTGAATCTGAAAAGCACCAATACATCATCCATGGAGGGAAAACGCCCAACAATGAGCTTTCTGATAAGATTTATATCATGTCTGTTGTGTGCAAGAACAACAAAAAAGTTACTTTTTGCTGCACGGAGAAAGATTTGGTAGGAGAGGTTCCTGAAGCCAGATATGGCCATTCCATTAACGTGGTGTACAGCAGAGGGAAAAGTATGGGTGTCCTCTTCGGAGGCCGTTCCTACACACCTCCAACCCAAAGAACCACCGAAAAGTGGAATCGTGTCATTGACTGCCTGCCACATGTTTTCTTGGTGGATTTTGAATTTGGATGTTCTACATCCTACACTCTTCCAGAACTTCGCGACGGGCTATCGTTTCATGTCTCCATTGCCAGAAATGACACCATTTATATTTTAGGTGGCCATTCACTTGCCAACAACATCCGCCCCGCCAACCTGTACAGAATAAGGGTTGATCTCCCCCTGGGGAGTCCGGATGTCAGTTGCACCATCTTGTCAGGAGGAATCTCTGTTTCCAGTGCAATCCTGACTCAAACTAGCAGTGATGAATTTGTTATTGTGGGTGGCTATCAGCTTGAAAATCAGAAAAGAATGGCCTGTAATGTTGTCTCTTTAGAGAACAACAAGATAGAAATTCGTGAGATGGAGACCCCAGATTGGACCCCAGATATTAAGCATAGCAAGCTATGGTTTGGAGGCAGCATGGGAAATGGAACCGTTTTCCTTGGGATACCAGGAGATAATAAGCAGACTGTTTCCGAAGCATTCTATTTCTATACGCTGAAGTGTACTGAAGACGAAGTGAACGAAGATCCGAAAACACTCACCAACAGTCAGACGTCAACAGAAGACCCCGGGGACTCTACTCCCTTTGAAGACTCAGAAGAATTTTGTTTCAGTGCAGAAGCATACAGTTTTGATGGTGATGATGAATTTGACACCTATAATGAAGATGACGAAGAAGATGAATCTGAGACGGGCTACTGGATTACATGCTGCCGGACCTGTGATGTAGATGTCAACACTTGGGTACCATTCTATTCAACAGAGCTCAACAAACCTGCCATGATCTACTGTTCTCATGGAGATGGGCACTGGGTGCATGCCCAGTGCATGGATCTCGCAGAGCACACGCTCATCCAGCTGTCAGAAGGAAGCAACAAATACTACTGCAATGAGCACGTGGCAATAGCAAAAGCACTGCAAACCCCCAAAGGAGCCGTGCCCTTAAAGAAGCCCTCCATGAAGCCTCTCCGCAAAAAAGGGCCTGGGAAGATCTTGACTCCTGCTAAGAAATCTTTTCTCAGAAGGCTGTTTGACTAGTTTTGCAGATGGCCTTGAGAATCAAGTGTGACCTATTTTAAAGAGTCAAGATAGTGGGAAAAAATTGTGTTTCTACTTTTGTTTGCTGAAATGTCAATGTTGCTTTTATTTACATGAATTCGGTGCCAGGAAAAAGTGCATAATAAAATACAATGCTAAAGAGAAGCACTGTAGAACCTGTACATTGTGGAAATATTTACCCAAAGATATCTTTTTTCTTTTTCTTTTTTTTTTTTTTTGAGTCGCCAGGAGTCAGAATCAACTCAATGGCAATGAGGTGGTTTTTTGTTTTTATTCTATAGGTGCTGGTAGAACTACCCCTGTGGATTTCTTTCTTTCATAAATGATCATTTTCCATCTAATTTTTTTATTCTAGAAATTTAAGACATAAGAGTTTTTTAAATAAACAAGCTTTAAAAAAATTTTGTAGCCTTTATATGACTTTTTTGTCCCAAGTAACCTGTAAAGCATCCACCCGGTGCCATCAAGTTGGTTCTGACTCAGTTCCAAGCCTGTAGGGCAGAGTCGAACTTCTCCATGGGGCTTCTAAGTAAATAGTTATTGGAGCCAAGAGTGGCTGGTGGGTTTGAACCACCAGCCTTATGGTTAACCACCCAATACTTAACCACCTCAACCACCAGAGATCTTAAATCTACAAAATAATGAAGATGAATTGAACCAGAAAAGAAACAAACACTCCAAGGAATTAAATGACTTATTTTGTGCAATAGGGCAATCTGCTGGCTGGCAAAAAATGAGAACACTTCTATCCCACACTAGTACACTTTGTACAAACTCTAAGATGGACCCTTGTGCTATGCTCATGAACAGAGCAAGTGTCTTACAACTGAGACATTGCGTATTCACTGGACTAACAGAAGATAGAGAGAAAAAAACCATCACGTTTATTAAGTTTATCAAGTTAGTTACATTTTTCTCATCATGTGCATATACCTTTCTCAGAGATTTCACTATCACATGATGTACAAATGGTTATCCAAAGTGAGCCACTGAACCCATTCTTTATAGGCATGTTCACGAAAAAGCCACCACAGATGCCCACTTGTGCTTTGCACCACGAGAGTGTGCTAGGAAAGGAATTCCGCAGATAGCCCATGCAGAAGAGCATATTGATTGTTTCTCCAAAATCTGAATAGTTGCATGATGTTAATAGATATTTTAACTAAGGGGGGTGTGTATTTCTGTCTAGTTAGCACACGATGTCTGCTGCCAAAAATATTACAAAACCCGTGAGCTTACTATAATGTTCAACTAGACACAGAATGAAGGTTTAATCGACTGTTAATTTTGAGATTACAAGAGATCCATCTATATTGGTTGGTTGGCTGAGTAAATCTGTGGTACTCAACACTTGAGGTGATAGTTGTTAAAAACAACATACCAGTATTTGATCCAGTTTCATCTCGACTATGTTAAACCAGGACATTTTAGATGTTCATCAAAGGTCTTTTATTGGGAAGAAAGTTAAATATATGAAGTAAATATGTGATATTTATGCGTAAGGTTTGCTCTGAACAAGCTGTTGAAAACTGAGTCGACAAATTTTTGAATGAACTGAAAAAAAAGCATGCCTTTTGAAATCTCTGAATGCCATGGTTCTCAGTATTATCACGCTTCATTGAATTTTTTTCTTATTAAAATTGGTAGTTTTTAAGACTATTTTTCTGTCAGTATTATGTAATTTATTTTAGAGTGGGAATGTTGCTTGTATCTTCCTGTTCAGCTGACATGTGTTTGTCTATTCCTCATTATCTTAGTGGTTTCATACATTGTATGTGCCTTAGCCAGCCAATTGCCTGTGAGAAACATGTCAGATAATGTATTTACAGCCATTGTTACAAGTATATAATGTATTTTTCTATCTTGCTTTATATGTATGTTATATAACATTCAGGGGAAAAAAAATTTTTTTTTCTTGATTGAGAAAAGGATACAAAATGCAAAATCTACAATTTTGATAACAAAATTGCCAACTGTTTGCAGTCCTTTATTATATTGGTGTCTTGTCTTTCTTAGGCTTTTAATTAGCTAACAAATGAATACATTAGGCACCTTTGGATTTTAGTTGGGAATTTACATAGCTTGCATTTTAATTCTTTGGTTCTATGCTGTTTCTATTAACCCAGACCATTATTTTAGTAAATGCTATAATACCAACCTACTAAAAGAAAATATCAATTCATAATTAGATGACCTTAGAAACAAATGTTTTCTTTCCACCAGGATATTTTACTTAAGTGAGGTTTCATCTACTCCTAAGAGTTTATGTTGTAGTCTATTATGTAACTGTCTTCATTGAAAGTCTACAGTGTAGAAGGTCTGATAGCCAAATTTAGAGGTGATATAATCCACAGAGAAGATGAAATAGTGGAGTGCTAATTCTTGGGCTAACAGTCCCAATGCCCCAGATCCTATACCTAACTTGTCTAAACTAACGCAGGTTCTCGCTGGCTCAGTCACATTGCTTGAAGAACATTCCTTTTGAACAAGAGACTGCCAGTGCTTTTATTGCTCTTTGGTTGCTTCTACCATCTAGATAAAACTAATAAAATATTTTAAATTATTTCTGTCTATATTTATTTACTCATATTACTAACATACATTTCTAAAACAAATTGCCATTGAAGCTATTCAACTCATAGCAACCCTTAAGACAGGTAGAAGGGCCCCTGTGGATTTCTGAGACTATAAATCTTTACGGGAGTCTAAAGCCTCATCTATTGCCCTCAGAGTGGCTGGTGGTTTCAAACTACTAACCCTGCATTTAGTAGCCCAACACAATGCCACTCTGCCACCAGGACTCCTATTAACATACCTAGATTCCCAAATGAGATTAAAAAGGTTTCATTTAATTTTCTCAGGATCACTTTACTAGGATTTCTGTTTATCTGTTAATAGAAACAGCCATTTGGAGCTGAAATATCCAAAGAAACATTCCCCCAAGAAACAGATGCATTCCCTTTATCTTGATTTTTATACAAAGACTCAAAAACTAAAGAACCAGTAACCCCGTGATCACTGAAGACAAAGTGGGTGCATAAGCAAATGTGGTGAAGAAAGCTGATGGTGCCCAGCTGTCAAAAGATATAGCATCTGAGGCCTTAAAGGCTTGAAGATAAACAAACGGCCATCTAGCTGACAAGCAACAAATCCCACATGGAAGAAGCACACCAGCCTGTGTGATCTAGAGGTGTTGATGGGATCAGGTATCAGGCATCAAAGACCCAGAGGGAAAAAAATCATAATGTGAATGAGGGGGGTAGTGAGGAGTGGAGGCCCAAAGCCAATCTGTAAGCATTTGGACATCCCCTTACAGAAGGGTCATGGGGAGAAAACTGGCCAGTCAGGGTTTAGTATAGCACCAATGAAACATATAGCTTTCCTCTGGTTCTTTAATGCTTCCTCCCCCTCTATCAAGACCCTAATTCTACCTTACAAATCTGGCTAAATCAGAGCATGTACATGGGTACAGATAAGAGCTGGAAACAGGGAATACAGGACAGATAAACTCCTCGGGACCAATATTGAGAGTAGCCATACCAGGAGGGGAAAGGGAAGGTGGGAGAAGAAAAGGGGAACGGATCACAATGACCGCCTTATAACTCCCTCCCAGGGAGCTGGACAACAGACAAGGGGGTAAAAGGAGACATCAGACAGTGCAAGACATGAAAACAATAATAATTTATAAATTATCAAGGGTTCATGAAGGAGGGAGGGGGGAAATGAGGAACTGATACCAAGGGTTCAAGTAGAAAGAAAATGCTTTGAAAATGATGATGGCAAAAAAATTTTTTAATTAAATTTTTAAAAACTTAAAAAAAAAAGAAAATGATGATGGCAACATATGTACAAATGTGCTTGACACATGGATGGATGTATGGATTGTGATGAGAGTTGTACGAGCCTCCAATAAAATGATTTAAAAGAAAAGAAAAAAGAACCAGTGGCCCCTATTTGTTTGTAGTCACCGAGACCAAAATACAATAATGCGAGTGGTTGGAGGCTGTCCACTCCTATAAAGAGCAGTTCTACCCTTTCTTCCAGGGTGGTTATAAGTCAGAATCAATGAGATGTCAGCAAGTTTGTGTTTTTTCCTTTTTTTGATTTTTTTGGTTTATAGAAAAACTCTGATCTCACCAGTTTAGCAGCGTTTAGGGTGTGTGTGTGTGTGTGTGTGTGTGTGTGTGTCTGTCTGTCTGTCTGCATATTTAAGTGGAAGTAGTTTGGTCTTACTGAATTTGAGGAAGAATTAATCCTTTTACGTCATCTTACTAATAAGTCCATCAGTTGTGACTTTAAGCCATTGAGGCAGCTTTTCTAATAAGCCCATGAAAATATCCAGATGCACTACATGAGGAGAGAACACATCTATTCCAAAGATGCTGTCCCTGCCTAAAATGGTCCACATTCCAATTATTTTGTGAGCCCAAGGATGATTCCTGTGAAGATATTCCACAGTCGTCCGCTTATCTTTCATTCAGAATGGATTTGATCTGTTACTCAGAGACCAACTAGAGGGGGACACTCTGGGGACCCTATTCCTCCTCTAGGTCAAGAAACAAGTGGTGAGTCTGAGCTAAGGAAATGGGTTTTTCGGAACAGGGCATGAATAGATTCTAAAAGCAAAATCTGAAATTGTTTGCACAAGAAATAAATATATGGGTTCCCCAGGTGGCCATGTCAAAGAGCTACGTTAGGGTCAGGGTGCGGCCCAACTGGACAGCCCTAAGGGCAATGAACACGTCATGCTCTGTCAGAACAAGCTGCTTCAAGGTGTGAGGGGCGGGAACGCATTTCCTGAAGGAGTCCGTTCAAAGGCCCTGAGGGAAGACGGAGTTGGTCACATGTTAGGAACCGAATGAAGATCAGTGTGGTTAAAACCTGCCCAATAAGTGGGTTATGGCCTAATGTGCATCTGTCAGGACCCCCGATTTTTTTTTATTTGTACAATAAAATTACCTACTGCTCCAGAGAGCACT